ATGTGATGAAGTGCTAGGCTTCAATTTCACAAAAAACAGTGCCAAGGAATTTAGGTAGTTTATTCAGCAAGCATGTCTGTTTGTCACTGAAGAGAGGAACGTGTTACTGTCTTAAGTAGCTTAAATTTGGGAGTTACATATCCATCACTTTCTTTGAAACCTTTCAGACTCCAGAACTTTTGAGGAATGGTACTCCTTCTTCCAACATATTTGACAGACTCTGGAGATGGACCGTTGAAGAAGTGCTTTAATGAGATATTCAGTTAAAATTATATTCTTGCCTTAGCTTTGTGGTTCAGAAAGTAATAAAAGTAGATTTATAGAAGAAAACTTACAGCTTTTTAGTAGTACCAAGAAGATTTTATGTAATACAAGAAGGGAACAGTCACTGAATATATTATAAACACTAATATCTCTACAATCACAAAGCTGATCATATATTGTATGTCACTGGCTGGTATGCTATACATCATTCTACCTTTAGCAACGTGGCCAGACAAGTGCTAAGTTCTCACCACAGCCTCATACTTCTTCTAATGTTTAAGTTCCAACATAACAGGAATTACAGCAGATAAAATTGAATACTTCTACAAGAATCTTGAGATGTAAGTGACCTGGATCATCCAAGTAAACAGATCTGAAGCTGATAAAATATTTCCCAAATGTAACTCACATTCTGAAAGCTCTCAAAATATTTAACCAGCTTATTATAAGGGCTTTAAAAAGGTGGTAAAGAAACTTGAGTGAAGTGACACATTTATACAGTATGACATCAAAAACAAACATGTACTTATGAAATTGCTTTCAAGTGAAAACATTAGCTATTCCCCCAATGCACAGTTTTTAGAAACTCTTAATAGGAAGTTCAGGGCAACCCTGCAGTCCAGGAAAAAAGCTACAAAGCCAAGTAAAATGTTTAACCTATTCAATAATCACAATGCTATGTGTTGTAGTAAAGACTGAGTACCAGGAAAACCTCACTGTAATTACTCAACAGTTTATACTGGAGTTTGAAACACTGCTAAAGGACAGGTCACTGAAATAAAGAAATTTAATAATGCCTGTTAATTGCTATGTTCAATTCAGTTAGGAGCAGGTGAGAAACACGAGCTATTAGTTTGGAAAGAAAACTGCAAGTTAAGACATTTGAGGTTTTCTATAGCAACAGAAGTCCTTCGAGAGTTGCTAGGATTGACTCTCCAATAGCTAGGAAGAGAAGATCTCAGGCAGGAGTTAATCCTGAAAAAATCTTGCAGAACACAGGTAAATGGCCCAACAGGGATTCATATACTTAGCTAAACTTTCTCCTTTTCAGAAATAAAGTTGTTGTGAAATAAAGTATTAAGTCATGAGGTTTGGAAGGCTGTAGCCTGAAGGACTAAATCTTCCAATCTGTCTCAGACAACAGGAAATTGGTTTAATCTTTATACACCCACACACGGGTAGCTCTACTTCTCATAGATTTGTTTTCCAGATATAAATGTTCCAGTTTGCTACCCTTCTGAAAGTGATGTACAGGAAGGAGTATGATCACATGCTCAGAGAACTAATCTGGAGCAAACCAGATTAATGTTCTATTAAGTTACCCAGGAAGCGTTTGAACAAGTAATTAAAATGGCATCAAAATTAATTTGCAAGACATAATTACACTACTCATATTTTATTGTGTCAAAACAGGAAGACCTCAGTGAGTTTAACTCTTATGGCAAGTTACCTTTGCTGTCCTGCCAGAAGTCGCTGAGCTTCTGTCGAGTTTTAAGGGCAGCTTCATAGAGAAATCAGACACTTCCAAGAATCCCTAATCATGTCAACTATGCACAATAAGACTCTTCCATCTTGATTTGGACCATTAGGAATTAGTGTTAAAATATCATACTTTGCTTATCTATTTCCAAAAAGAGAAAGTTTGGGGGTTTTTTTAGGGGGTTGGGTTTTTTTGGTTTGGTTTTGTATGGAGGGAGCGTGTTGGTTTTTTCATTGTTGTTGTGGTTTGGTTTGGTTTTCTGTGATTTTTTTTTTTTGTTCCTTTTCTCCCTTTTCAAACACGGCACATGGAAAAACAAAATTACTGGTGCTGTAAGCCTGCCTTTGCAGCAGCAAATGATCAGAGCAGAGCAGCTGGCTGCCCACAGCAGGTCAGTGTCACATTCCTTTGAGTTCTGTGGTTGCAGGCTACAAAGTGAAGCTTAACCAATAATTGCCACTATTTTCGTATTAGAGCACACAAGTGCAAAGACGGTGGGAAAATAAGTGAGGTGACAAAATGCAGGAGAAGGGAGTCAGAGAATGAATTTAAGGACAGCAAGACAGTTTCCCATTAGCACAACAATAACAATAGTGTAGCTACTTGTTGAAAGACCATGATTACAGAATAAATATAAGAAGTCTTCATTGAATATTAAGTTGATTTATAGTAGATAACAGTTTACAGTGCTCTTTTTCAATTTATTAAAATCCTCTGCGTTAAAGAAAGCTATTTATTTTCTCATGTTTATGAGCCACTACTCCAGTACAGGCAGTAACTCCTCAGTGAAGTCACACTTTCTATCTGTGCTTTATTCCCATCATGAGTAGCAAAATACAAAAGGCAAGGGATCCAAACAGCAGCCAAAACTTACTTATAAGACATACTATTTAAGTTTTTCTATCATTATTAGAAGCCTAATCAATGGTATATGCCTGCCAACAGACCAAGAATGACTGGACTAGGTACCCTGTTAGATCACAGAATTCCAACATTAGACTCAAGCTCAACTCAACTGAACCAATTGTCCCACAGCCACTGAAAGCAGGAACAAATAACGTCCAACTCTGTGTCACTTCGAAGAATCACAGAATGGTTTGGGTTGGAAGAGACTTTACATATCATCCAAGTCCAACCCCCCTGCCATGGGCAGGGACATCATCTACTAGACCAGGTTGCTCAAAAGCCCCATCCAACCTGACCTCGACTACCCAAGACTGTTCAAGGGGTGGAGGGGGTGGGAGGGTTGTTGTTTTGAAGAAACTACGTAAGCATGTTTATGACATACTCACTCTCGCTCTTTCTCCGTCAGTTTGTCATTGATATTATCTTTGATTGTAGACCGGGAGCCCTTGTGAATTATAGGATACCTGAGTGGCACTTGCAAGAAGAATGAAATCATTGAAACCAAGTGAGCGGTGTAGCCCAGGGCAACAGCAATGCTTCCATCATCTTTTGCTGTCAATAACAAAAAGTTTTCATTATTTAATCAATTCGATCTCATTGGAGGCTCAGAACAAGTTCATCGTTATTGCTTAGAGAATGATACAATTAATGAAGCTATCAGAAGTTATAGCTTAAGAATAGGTGCAAGTCTGAAACAAAGTTAGATTGCTTTACAATTATTTGCAGTTCATTGTATTTGCTTCTCTCATTAAAGGGCAATGTAAAACGAGCGATGCCATGTTCTCCTTTCAATTTTACACTTTCAAAGTAAAAAGTTACTGTTCTCAACATTCATCTGGGTGAGGGAGGGTAAAGAAGAGATGGGAAAAGTGAAACAAAATTCCCTAGACAAAATTCAAGTCTTAAGCGTTCTGCATTTCTCTGGATGCAGCTGACATGTATGACCGGGGTCAGGGAAAAGCTGCATTCCTCCACAACCTTACTAATGCAACATCAGTTGGAAAGGCACGGACCCCAGGGTATGAACTCTGTTCTCTGCCAATAACTGGAAGAACATAGGTTAATTCATTGTTTTAAAGTATCATTTTTAATTTGACACTTAAGGTTTCAACCTTAAAGCTTCACGTGTCAGGCACAGAGACAGGGTTTGTGATTCAGATTACATCCTTTAGCCATGTAAGGGTTTTTCATTTGCTTTCTCTGTTTTTCTTCTTTGTAAGTGAACACACCAATACAGAGTCCTCCCATTTACGAGCCTGCAAAAACTATTCAACATTTGCAGCAAAACTGGCTTTTAGGGAATAATTTTTTTTTATGCTTCAGATGCTTGATTTTTTAAAAAAAGTATTATCTACCAAGAGTCTGAAATAAGATACATATCAGACAGCTTGCTTTCAAATTTAACTGCATATTTCAAGTTGAATGCTTAGTACTTCTTCCTCATAATACAATATTTCTAGAGGCTTTGATAAAGAATTAGTAATTCTATTGTAAGGAATTAATACCTGTAAACTGAAAATGGAACAAAAGATGCACGCCACTGATTTCTCAAGAATTAACAAACTGAGTACATTACCACATTCAGTGCAACCAGGAAAACAAAGCAATAGACTGATTTTTGTCATACTGACAATTTGATTTGTTTTGAAGTTTATTCCTCCATTATTCTAGCATCCAGTATACCAGTTGTTAGCACAAGTTAGTATCTATGGGATGGGTTTAAAGAGTTAGGCAACTGATTGAGGCTTTTGCCCAAGAAACCACGTGCCTTGCAGGGTGAGGAAGTACTGAGAGTGAGAAATTCTCAAGTGGATTTTAATGAAGTTTAAATTCATGCATTCATCTACAAATGTTTGACATTTGCTTCTGCAGCAGGATGACTGTAGACAGTTAAAGTAGAAGCTGACTTGTAAAATACTCCACACTGACAGGCAGCTTTAAAGTCTTCCTTATGCAAGTTATTTATTTTGCAAGTTCACTGGCAACTACAGTAAACTGAACAGATTTGTGCACATTGCCCCATCAAGATTTATGGGCTGAAAGTAGCCACAATGGAATTTTAGGTCAGACCCAAATATTTTCCAGAATCACTAAGTCTGGAAGGCAGCTCTGTAAATTGCAGAGTCCTAGCCCTACTCAGAGTGGAGTCAGCTACAGCAGGTTGCCCAGGACTGCGTCCAGTCGGGGTTTGAGCATCCCCAAGGACATAGACTCCACAGCCTCTCTGGGTAACCACCTGTTCCAACGCTTCAGTATTGAGTCTTAGAAGATAGAGGAACTTTGTCAAGCATCAACAGTAACTTCCTCTGTACTAGCTAGGAAATATGGATAAATAATGCAGAATGTTTTCTTCTAGTCTAGACCCTTCCAGTCAGAAATTTGGATGCTAAGCCATTGCTATCAGTTTACTTAATTTTATGAAGTTTAGAAGCAACATCAACTGTAACAACTAAATTAAGAATATCCAGCTACCTTGAAAGTCTTCAGAATTAGGAAGCTTGACTCCACAAACAAAGTAATCCTTCTGATCATTCTGTAAGTTTAAAATAAAAAATGGAAAATGAGAATGGAACAATAACATCCAGGAAACAGAAACCTGCACAAAATCCAATGACAACAAAGCATTTTTGTAAAGAAAAAAAATAAATCTAAAGATTCAGTGAAATCCAGAGTGACTTTGACATAGTGTTTTAGTCCACATTTCATATAATTCAGAAATAAATACAGGGTTTTTTAAAGAAGAAAGAGCTTCAACTTAGTTCATTATATAAAAGGTTTTAAAGCTCAAATATTTTATATCTGTTTATGTGCACTCTATTAAAAGTTCATGTAGCCTAATGTCAAGGTTATTTCATATAACTGTAAACAAAATAGAAAGTATCCATTAAATTGCAGCTACAGCTATTTTACTTTTATAGTGGAGACAATTTAAGAGATGCTGGCATAAGTTCTTTCCCTGTGAGGTTTGCATTTAAAGGACCAAGTCCAAGAAAAAGCTGGAAAAAACAGCATGAGCGAAGCGCAAATTTCATGGTATTTGCTTAAAGTGTAGTAAATAGGAAGTTCATTTCACATCAAGCAGATTTTTAGAACATTAAAAACATACCAGATCTATAGGGTAGATATAAGATAGCTCCGACAGCAATTGCTTGCATCGAATAGTCTGCTGGGCATTTATCTTCAAAAACAGTTCTCTTTACGGAAAGAGATTCCAAAACCATTAATTTCATCAACAGCTTTAAGTAGAGGCATCAAGCCCTTGTATCACTTCTGCATCTTCTTAAGTATTGACTACCCTCCCTCAAAAAGCTAGGTAATTCCAGAAAGATAACTACAGAAGACAAAGCTAACTTTTCCTTTTCAGTTGTACCTCATATTATAGGCGTAAGTTTACTATGACAATTATTCAAAGCTGTGTTAACGCCAAATCGGACTTCAAACTCCAATTGTAGTCTGCATGTGCAAACCAAACATCAGTTTTCTTCTCTTGTAGACTTGCCACCGTTAATTATCACTTTAGGTATCCACAAATTGTAGCAGAGATATCTTAACAGAAGTTTTGGGGAGACATTAGGAAGAATTTGGTGCCACGAGTCCCACTTCAAAGGGGCTACTCTCAAGTCACAGACTCATAGAACGGTTTGGGTTGGAAAGGACCTTAAAGCTCATCCAGTCCAACCCCTGCCATGGGCAGGGACACCTCCCACCAGCCCAGGCTGCTCAAAGCCCCATCCCTGAACACTTCCGGGGAGGGGGTAAAGTCTGTATTTCCTTTCCAATTGCAGAAAAAGCATAGGTCCCTTTACCTCTTAGCAGTGCATTCCTTTCTTAATTCATGCAGGGATTCATTATGGTCTTGAAGTTTCTGGTGTTCAGTCTCAAATGCATTTTCTAAAGAACATAAAGAATCAGGAAAAAATAATATTTATTATTTTCTTAGTTATCTGAAGTTTTCAAAGTAGATATCAACACAAATGTTGGCAATAATCCTTCATTTACTCTTAGATTCCCATTTTCCACGTTACACTGTCAAACTGGGAAATGACGGTGCTGAAGGAACACCAGTCTCCATGCATTTTATAGACCATTAACCAGCCAAATACAACCAACAAAGTCTCATTCCCTCTTAACATCTGATCCCCCCCATATCCACAGCAGTAGAGTAATTCAGTTAGGGGATCTCAATACTTGCATAGCAAGAGCTAAATAAATAACAAAAACCTCATTTTTCGTAGTGTAAAACTATTTTAGAATCAACTAGGCATTAAAAAAAAAGTGTCCTGCAACAAGATCAGAAATCTGTGTATCTTGGTCTCTGATGAGCTCCAAAAAGACAGTGATGTAGCACTTCACTATAGAGCACTTTCCCAGTAAAACAAAATGCCAAGACAATTAAGCATTTCGCCTTTCACATATGTAATAAGCTATTAAGAGGGATTTTTGTCTTCTAACACTTTAAATAAGATCCTAATAACAGGTACAGTAACATCCCTCTGACATTATGATGTGTCTGCATCAAGCCACTGTTTACTGCATTACAGTACAGCTCTTCTGATTTTCTCATACAATTCCAGTTAAGCACAGATTTTAAGATTTCTGTAGAGAGGTGTCATATTAAGAAGTCATTTAGCAACAGAATACCAGAATCTGCTGTCCAGAATTCAGTATAACACGGATGGTAAAGAGATTCTATCTGGCTGCAAACTTCAGGTTAAGAAAAACACAAGCATGTTAGAGCCAGAACAGAAAAAACCAAACCAAACCAAAAAATAAATAAAAAAACAACCACCCCAAAAACAACTAAACCAAAATAGCAACTTCATTTTGGTCACCATGATCATAAGCTAGTCTACTTCTCTTCGGATCAGAGGACTATGAATATCTGCAATGGAAGCAGTAACTTTTCTCCACTTACCTCTGTCAAGCAGAGTATTTTTTTCCTTATGCAACAAGGCTACTTCTTGACCAAGGGCCTTCTTCTGCCTCTCCAGTTCATTACGTAGCACCAGGATCTTCAACTGTAAACATTCACTCTCCTTTTTCTATTGGAAGACAAAAAGATTAAAAAAAAAATATATTTTTTTCTGCACACAAGCAGTTCCATAAAAGAAGTGATAGGAGGGAAGTGAAAAATAGGATAACACTAGTGTCTGCCAGACTAAAGGCTGAGATCTTTGATTACCACAGGCAATAGTTACCAAAGACCCTAATCATTTTGCTGGCTTGGAAGGAAAGAAATCCATCTGTGTCCTACAGCGCTTGTTACTCCTGTGCTCAGCAGTGCAACTTGGTTCAGGGCAGAAATTAAGAGAGGAAGGAAAGATGGGAGGAAGTTTCTGCAGGACAGGCACATCAAAACTAACAGGAGAGCACTAGCAGCACAATGAGCGTTCGTTCCTTGGCAAAGGGTTCAGCAAGAAGAGGAAAGATGAGCAATGAGGACTCTATACTGAACTGAGGCAGGGAGCTGGAAAAGGGTTGGAAATATCTGAGTTGCATTACTCCCAGCTTCAGTTTGATTGGGGGGGGGGGGAAGGATGCAAAAGGAAAGAACATATTCTGGAGGAGCAGACTACATCATTACAATTATATTTGAAGGACCCCTTCTTTAAAAGTTTCAGGATTTGACCTGTACCTACTCCAAATCTACTCTTGTATTTTAAAATAACCTGTTTTTTCCTTCAATGCACTGTCTCCACTAAGAAATCATGCTGCCACGTGCACAGTGAAGCAGAATTTTCCATTACAAATAGATTTTGTTTTGTTTTAAGGAAGGAATATCTGCCACGTTTAATAGATATTTGTTGAGAATAACTGAAGACAGATTCAAAAGGGAAAAGTTTTATCTCTTCAGTCCAATCACACCACTGAGAGAGTTCAAATTCTCAAAGGGCAGTTAGACATGTTTGCCAGCAGCTTTTGTGTAAGTACTACCAGACACTGTCACTTTGGGTAACCTGGCCAGCTTTCACATTTTCAAGCGGTTAATGGAGATAATGTTACTTCAACAATAGCTGCCTGAAAAAAAAGAGTTATCTTGTTAAACTCTTCCTTCCACTTCATATTTGCTTCAATTACACATTTATGTTCAGCCTTCAAGACTGCAGCAGGAAACATGACTCAGTATTAAGGAATGAAATTATAGTTCATACATTTATGAAGTGGAACAGAAGCCCAACAAGAGTTTCCACTATTAAACAAAAGGAGAAGAAAAATAGGTAATTATTTCCTTGTACCATAGACCATGGTTGCTTCCTTATACCATAGACTATGGTCGCCAAGAAGTTGCATCACCTGTACAATCACTGTAATTTTTGGTTTTAGCATTCTTCATACGGTTTTGCTCACACACACTTAAAAGAAAAAGCCTTTTCAAGGAACAAGGATATCCATAACCAAGAAAAAGAAAAGGGTTACAATATTTTAATAGCGAAGATACCAGGAGAAGGCAAAGAAGTTCAGGGTTGGAGTCACTCACAGGAGACGTTATATTGTCCATTAAGGGAGTTGACTTCTTTGCTGCTTTGTCTGCAATGCAACCCTGTAATCAAAGTGCGTAAAGAAACTCCCATTCTTCCACTTTGTCAAACCCTTAAATCAGTTTGACATTTTTGGCAATTAGAACTGAGTACTCTTAACCCAGAATCTACCTTACAGCAATGAAGTAACTTCACATCACAAGTTTGCCCTTTCCTATACAAGGCACCAAGTGCACATCAATATAAGGAAATCACCATGAGCCACTCTGTTCTCTCTGGGCAGAAAGTAGAACCTAGAGTTAGTACACTTCTTTTGGAGAGGGGAAGAGGACAAGCAAAACAAACTGTCAAAAGCTATTGCCAAATTTAATACAATTTCTGCTTAAAATGAATGTGTCACTTGAGTGACAGCTTTTGCATGAATTCTATTCACCCAAAGCCAGAAAGGTGCAAGAAAATACAGTCAGCAGACTCACCTCACTCTAAATCTACCCCGGTTCCTGTCAAGACTTATCTAAATCATCAGAAGTTTATTTTTCTTGATAAACCTCTTTCACACACTGCACAATGCTTACACTTTTATAGTATAAAATCAATTATACAAAATAAAGGTAAAAATAGGATAAGCATTCCATCAATCCAAGTAACACAGACAAATCTAAAATCATTAAATTACACTTCTCAGATGAGTACCCATTTGAAATGCAAGGTTTAAATAAATATTTCAAGTTTAAGTGTTAAAAAAGCAAGCCAAGACATCTGCCAGGTGCTTCAGCAAGCCCACAGAAAGGTTTTAAACTATGATCTTACCAGTTCGTTGCTTGTAGAGGTACATCTCAGCTTTTCTTCAATCTCCCTTCCTATCTTCTGAACAGTTACCTGAGTCTGTTTAATTGCACACTGAGCTCTGTGAAGCCTGTAAGGAGAAAAGAAGTTACAGCTGTATTAAAGGTTCTCCACACATCACCTAATGATGAATGCACCAGCCACCTCAAAAACCAGCAGCAGTAATATGAATTCAGATTGTCAGCTTCTATTTTGAAATAAAAAAATCGAAAGAGGAATCATAACTTACAGAGTTTAGAAATGAGTACCCACAGCAAAACAGCAACTTCCTAAATTCAGTCAACTGCCAGATGTCCTTTTTATTTGTTAAATTCAATAGATGCTGATAAGGCAATGCTCTAGGTGAGAGATAATTGTAGGGATCTCACGTATCAAGTTATAGCACAGTTAATGTCAAGACAAGGATACACATGACAGTTACCATGAGCATTGTTAACATGGGCCAGTTTTTAAAAAGTGCAAGTATCCTTCAGATACACACAGCAACCCAGGTCAAGAGCATGAACTAGCTTTAGGTACCCAAAAATATGCTATGGGTCCTTCTGTAACTAAAACATTCTTAATTGAATCAAGTTCAAAATAAGGAAAATAAGATGGTGTGTTTGATAATTCACCCTGGCTTCAAGGTGGAGTGGGAAAAATTATTACTTGCCATATTTACTGAGGAAAAAAAAACACAGAGGAAAGCAGTGGGGGGAAAAGGGTTTAGGAGAAGCATTAACAAGAAAGAAATTCATAGAAAGAATTAACATGGAGTGGAAATTAACTTATTTAATACAAAAAGTAAGATTTGGTTTGAAGACTGTCTTTTAAGGCATGCAAAACCAAGCTTACTTTTCCCATTCACAGTTTCACTACTAAGGACTTCTCGTTTTGTAAGGACATTCTACAGACAGCCTTGCTGCTGGGATAAGCACTTCACTCAACTAAGATCTAGTTGCAAAATGGTCAGATAACCTACTACATAAAATTAGCATTTTGCCAGGTAAACATAACCAAGAGACCAGGCCTGTTTCAATGCATGCTTTAACGACCGTCTCCACTTTGACAAAATTAAGCATTCTATAAAGAGGCAGAGATTTTTTATTTTACTAAAGTAAGGCTTCGAGTCTGCTGTGAGCCAAGGACCAAAGCATTAGAGCATATAGAAGAGGCTGCTCAGCCCCTTCTCCTTTCACATTCTCTAATCTCTTCCAGATTTATAAGCAATTCAGGCATTGCTATTTAAAGTTTTTGGCTAATAGTTTTTAACGGTCTGGATGCAGCTAGACCAAGACAACCGGGCTATGTGCTTCAGGTATGAGTAACCACAGAGCATTACTCCTCCTCGCACCATCTCCCCTCAACATCCCATCTCAACAGAACCCACCGTATATTAGTTTATTCAGCATGAGGACAGCACCTAAACCACCTAAACCCAAACAAATAAATACACAGAGAGATTATACATGAACAAGCAGTGCCAGTAATACTAAAAAAGATCATTATAATTTAGGACTTTCACATGTTTAACATTCTAAGCGACTACATTTCACAGAATCACAGAATCGCTCGG